AAAGAAAGACGAACAGAAAACAGAAAACAGAGAAAGCTGTTCCTGTTAGAGCAACCAGTAAACCCCCATCTTAGATTGATCATGGTGGACTCTCAGAATGTCCTTTATCTGTAACTCAGTCCAGAAAACATGTACCATTGGCCTGCTGATGGTGCAGTTGTGTTGTTTTTCTCCTTTCATGCAAGAACAAGTCATTTTACTTCACTTTGTCTTTGGCTGATATAAATCATGCAGGACATGGTAAAATCAGAAAACGTCTGAACCAACAACAGGTTCTAATATATTTGTTGCCTTCCCTGAAACTGTCCCGGACACCGTACCACATAGTCTGTGACCTAAGCCTTGCTTTTGTCTTTCTTGACCTTTTGGCTTTGTTTACTGTGCATCTCCGTGATCCTCCGACATTTTGTCAGCGCCTTTTATTCCATTAGTCACTGAACTGTATACCAACAATATACTGTATATGGTAAAGTAACAGCTGCTGTATGTTTGACCTGAGTTGTGCTGGGTGGGCGTCCTTTAGAGAGGAAGATCAGAGGATTTAGGTCACAGAGTAGAGAGAGAAAGTGTCCTCGGGGTTCAAAGCCAAACTTTGGTTTCTAGTCGAGGAGGGCAGATGGAGGCAGAACCCCGACTCCAGATCTTCCTCCATATGTGCATATTGTGCCTAACTAGACTAACTACAATAACCCTAAAGAACTAATTTCTCAAAGTTGGAACTATCTCACACAATTGTCTGCAAGTCAACAATATAACCTCCAAAACAGATTTGCTTTTACTGAAGCTGCCAAACATCCCCGTGATACAATGTGAGAGTTCTCACTGCTGCTCTTAGGTCTGTTTCATAATACCAGACAGAGGAGATTACAAGTGAACGGTGGAAGTGTAAGAAGACGAGCAACATACATCCAAAAGAACACAATGACTAGAACATGCATAAAGAAATCATATGATGTTATTGACCAAGTGCAGGAAGTGATGTACTGTACAGGCCTAACGAACCGCCCTAAGGCTAAGACTTAACATTTTATGTTGTTTGGAGGACACAGCTATAAGACTGTTGCTAAACTCTCTGAAGCATCATTTGGAAAAAGACTATTAACAAAGGAAGTCAGAGCTTTTCAGGGTTTCATCCTACAGCAGGGTAATGAGCCAGAAACGCCTCCAGGCTGTGTAGACAAACAGAATGAGATGGGATGGCAGCACAGTGTCCAGACTAGCTCTCCCCCCTCATCTCCCCAGGATGCTAGAGGAGCAGGCCATAAGGGAGTATGTCCTGGCTCTGTTCCGGCTCCCCCGCGGTGAAAGACTCCATGAGGTGGCTTCCTGTTCGGTGTGGACGCCGCATGCCCGCTGCCACACGGCCGGAACCCTCTACACCACCGACAGCTACCTGTGCTTCTCCAGCCGAGATGAAGGCAGCTGCACCCTCCTCGTTCCCCTCTCAGAGGTACAGCATTACTATCACTATGCAGTGTTGAAGGGACGTCAGAAAGTTTCAGGGAAATCCATTGGTATTGTTGTGTTTTTTTACCTCTGCTAACAGAAAAGCTAAAGGTGCGTTTATGTGGTTCTCATCAAGCATTAACCCTTACATGACTGTGCACACACCCCTTTAACTGGGAGTTCGTGTAGGAGCCCTGTTTTCTATAACCCGAGGTCATGTGTTTGGAGGTGAGCTTGTTGAACAGTCTGTGTTTACTTTGCCAGGCTGAGGTTAAAAAGTAACTGGCCTTGTGTGGATGATGATGTTTACACATGAACACATTACAGCGTAGAGGGGAACGTCATCAATGACTTGTGTGTGTTTCATATGTGGGTAAAAGTGTTGGCACCATTACACATCAGTGAAACAATGCTCCCTCCTTCCTGATGAGCTCTTTTGTCGATATGTACCTGCAGCCATCGATTCACAAAGAGCTGAATTCTTGTTTATTCTACAAAGCTTTTGTAAAATGGCCAGAACCAGAGGACACACGTCAGTGTAAAGGATGGGAGAAAGCTCAGTGTTGAATCATTCTGAGATGAACTCAGTCAAATAGCTTCTAGACTGGAGTCAATTCTTGATGTATTGGAGCTCTTCACCGAAAATCTACAGTTTTACATTTTATTCTAGTGTTATTGGTTGCTGGGTTGAGTTCTTTGTGAAAAGTGGAGAGCAGCAGCCAGCCGCCCAGTCCGACACTTGTTCCTTCTTTCCTCCACTTTAATCTTCTGTTTTCTGTTGAAGCATTGACTTTAACAATGTGTCAACACTTCTGTCGACTGAATGTGTTGTGGTGAATAAAGAACAATTCTCCTGCTTTAATCTCTGTTGTCTGCTTCACTCCTGCATATTTCCTCTCGAGCTTGGCCATAAGCTCTAGTTAAAATTCAGTATAGCTGTCATATGAATGTATGGCAGCACCATGGTAAAGTCATTTATTTTTAATCAGATTAATCCTGATGGTAATAATAAGTATTTTTGTTGGTAATCCGAGTGAGCATGACAACAATAGTTTGTGATTATGATTGTGTAACAGTTTTACACACACAGCATTATGAGGGCGTATAAGAGGCGAGTGCATCATGAAAACCAGTTGGTGTCCAGACTGTTTGTTGTTGTTACCAGTTGGTCTTCATTCATCCTCGTCTATGTATGTTTGCATCATGTCTCATTTTATTTGTAGGACCTTCTTGGCCAGCTTGTCATTTTTATTTCCTCTCTCCTGTTTGGTATTGTCTCAAACACAAGCAGTGGAAAGCAGCTGACTCTTTATCTGTGCATTGTGAAGCCTGGTTTCCCTCATTTCTTCTTCAGGTGTTGTCCATAGAAAAAGCGGAGAGCACCAGCGCGCTTCCCAACCCCGTCATAGTGAGTGTTCGGACTAAGAAGGCGTTCCAGCTGATCGAGCTGCAGGACAGAGACGAGCTGGTGGAGTGTCTGAACTCCAGACTCAGAGCTCTGCAGTGGAAACACTCCATGTTCCACAGCAGAAAGGACGGCAAGAGGAGCATGGTACGGTGCTGTCACCAGCAAACATAGGAGTCGAGTGACACCAGCAAACATAGGAGTGCTCATTTCTCCTGTTCTACACCCGTTTCTTTACTGCTGCCACGCATCCAGATGTTTTCTCCTTGTTTTGTTTCCTCAGAGCTCCCCAACACCCTACTACACCTTCTACTACGACACCGGCTATTCTGATGAGGAAGAGGTCGAGGAGCAGGTTTTACGCAACACTGTCAACAGCGAGGCTCTGATGACGGCCTTCCACCAAGACCAAACAGGAACCGACAGCGACAAGGTGAGTGGAGTCTGGCATCTGAGTGCAAGTCAGACTCGGGTATCCTGTTGACACAGGCCACGGATCAGTGTAATACATGAGCCTAAATCACTGTCACTCTAAAGCCCTCTGTGTGTTTGTGTCAGAGCATGGAGCGGGTCAAGGAGCGGCTGTGGGAGGGGCATTTCTCCGAGTTCGGCCGTGGTGTGCACATGTTTCGCACAGAGAAGATCCAAAGACTTGTTGCCATGGGGATCCCCGAGTCACTGCGAGGGGAGCTGTGGATGACACTTTCTGGTAAGAGAGAGGGGTAGAAAAGTTAAGCGGCTGAAGTTATAGAACGCTTTTAGACTTTTTTGTGCCGAGTTTGACCAGAAATCACTTCTTCGTTGGCCGTTTCAGGGTCAGGACTGATGTAAAGTTAGAATAAGAATAGTACAATAACTGATAAAACTCTGATTGTCATCACAATGGAAACGGTGACAATAGTGGCATCGTTTAATTTAGTGTTAATCTAATTTACTCTCATTACAATGCAACAGAAAACACACACAAAAGAAGAGCTGCACTTTTCCACTCCCACCTTCACCGAGGTAATAAAAGCAGCCACACTTTGTGTTGACTCGTCATTAAAATACCTGGAGGTGTTTCTAAAGTGGATGGACAATAATATTAGAGATGCACAAATGTGTATAAAAGTAGAGCAGAGGCCACCTGCTCACTATGTTCTGCTGACAGTCACTTCACAAGGGAAGGTGGAAACAGTGTGGTGTGAAAACAACCGTTTGGAGGTGACTGACAGCTGATCACATGCTGAGGAGCATTTTCATACCCCCCCCCCCCCACGAGGCCAAAACAGATGCAGGAAGCATGGCCTCACAGACCCCAGCAGATAGAACGACTGCTGGTATAACGAAAGCGGCACAAGAGCATGTGGGTGTGAACACAGCCTGGGCATCATATCCTCTTCTGTCCACCTCCCACAGCAGCACCTCTGCAGACAGAACCAAACTTTGTCAGCTTTTACTTTGGCTCGCTGTCGCTTCCTTTGCTCAGTCTCACTTCTCTGTGTAAGACCTGCAGCAGGAGCTGTGATGTCGCTGCCGTGAAGTGGAACTGAAAACAGATTTAATGCTGGGCAGCAAAACAGCTCCAAGATAAAGGGTCTGATGACTGATTTTTATTTAGAATATCATGTTTATATATTTATATCGGTTTCCTGATTATGTTTACTGTCTGTCATGTTTTAGATAAATCAAGAAAATTCATTTTGGTTTTCACCTTTTCTATTTGCCCCTCTCCTTCTGTACTGACCTGTCTGGGTCCCCTGTTTATGTGGAGGAGCCATTTCAGTGTGTCCGTCTGTGGTCTGTGCAGATGCGTCCTCAGAGCTCGAGTGTCATCAGGGCTACTACAGCAGCCTGGTACAGAAGTCAATGGGCCAGAACAACCTGGCCACAGAGGAGATTGAGCGGGATCTTCACCGTTCTCTTCCAGATCATCCCGCTTTCCAGAACCCCACCGGCATTGCAGCGCTCAGGCGGGTCCTCACTGCCTACGCCCATCGCAACCCAAAGATCGGATACTGTCAGGTCAGCATGTGGACACGAGGGGTTTGTAGAAGGGTTTGTCATTGTTTACAGCACAAAGATCATAATTGGATGCAATAAGAAGCAAAATTTAAGAATGAAGTAATGCAATTTAATTCTGCATTTCAGTTACTGTTCTTTAAAGTGAATATAAGGAAACAGAATCATGAACCGTTTCAATCCGATCACTGTGGGTGTTTATTAAATCTCTTCTGTTTCTGTCCAGTCCATGAACATCCTGGCGTCGGTGCTGCTGCTCTATGCTAAAGAAGAAGATGCGTTCTGGCTGCTGGTGGCTGTTTGTGAGAGGATGCTGCCTGACTACTTCAACCGCAGGGTCATAGGTGAGAGGTCAGGGGTCAGAAAGAAGAGGAAGCATTGTGTTTTTCTTTTCTCATATTCGCTCTGGCCACATAGAGTAGCTGTGCCTTGTTTTCTGTTTTCTTTTGTCTAAGCTGTTGCACCTCAGGCACCTGAAATAAAGGCTTATTTCCTGTGTTTGTCAAGCTGTTTATTTATGTCATGCAAGGTGCATTTGAAACAATTTCCTCTTCCTGTTAATGTCCAGATGTTTGTGGGCGTCTTTTCAGTCTTCTCAGAAATGGACCTTTAAAGATTGAGGCTGGAGTGATTTTATATTTGAACTAGTATTAAAAGTGTCCCTATCCGTTACCCTGAAGAGGCAAAAAACAGCCGTTGTGTGTGTAAACCAATTTGCAGTGAAAGAATATGTGTAATGTTGTTTAAATGAAACAATGTGGTGCGTTTTTGTATTTTTGAAAGGTTTGGGGTGACAGCGTACCAGGCTGTGGCTACACACAGTAATTCTTAAGAAGTTAAATAGTTATTTCCTTTTTTGATTAATATTAAAATGTAAAAAAACGTATATTTGATAAAAGCACAGACTTGGTTCATAGGGTAACATTACTCAGTCTAAATTGTGCTGCCACCTAGTGGTCAAAACCACAAACACCAACCAGTTTGAAAGCTTCCACTGCCTGTGTGGTCCGATTAATAATTTTGTTTAGATAATTCATTATATTTATCTATAGTTTTTCTGTTTTTGGGTATCAATAATTCCAGTATCATGTCATCCCTATCAGAATTCACTTACCCACCTCCCCGTGTGTGATGTCGTTTTCCCCTGCAGGAGCTCAGGTGGACCAGTCTGTGTTTGAGGAGCTGATCAGGGAGCGTTTGCCAGAACTGGCTGAACATGTTCCAGACGTCTCGTCCCTCTCCTCTGTGTCCCTCTCATGGTTCCTCACCCTCTTCCTCAGCGTCCTGCCTTTCCACAGCGCTGTCTGTGTGGTCGACTGCTTCTTCTTCCATGGAATCAAAGCCATCTTCCAGCTGGGTTTGGCTGTGCTGGAGGCCAACACTGCACAGCTCTTAGCCAGCACTGATGACGGACAGGCACTCATGATTCTCACAAGGTACATTTGTTTAAGGCTGTATAAAAGCAGGCAAATTTGATTTGTTGCTCAATTTGTGCTGACTGAATTTTATGAATGGTGATCAAAGATTGAAATCGCTGCACAACTATCACAGATTGTTGTTCAAAAATACAATGTGGCTTTGTTTGTTTTTAGGAATCTGAATCATATCAGGATTTAATGAAGACCACTGACCAATCGCATCACATTGCTGCTCATATGAAGTGTTACCTGAACATTAACCATGAGGCCTAAACAGCAGAAAACATCTTGTATCTAGGCTTTGATTGTTTGACTGTCACATTTTGCACGATAACCAACTTTTTCAGTGAAGAACTCATTAAAAGTATGATAGATGTAATGATTACAGGCTGGCTGCTCACACTAACACTAGTTAAATCCTCAGCTCACTGCTCTAAGTACCAGAGGTCACTGTACTTCAGAGCCACAAAGCTTTGAATCTTTTTTCAGCACAAATAGAAAGAAGGACCCACATGACATCCTGAGCTGCATGTCTGAACAGAGTAAACAGGTTTGTTTTTCTTGTTTGAAATGAGAATGTGAATGCTCTCCTCTGTGCTTTGCAGTTTTCTGGACCAGGTTGGAGGTGAGGAGCCGTTTTGCACGCCGTCCTCCCCTCCTGCTGCAGAGGAGACCAGCAGGAGCGACACTGATGGTCCCAGGGTGGGACACACAAACATCACTGACCTCATTAATGACTCCTACGAAGTGAGAAGCACACAGACATTCACTTCATTATTTGTGATCATCTTATCTAATTGTTTCATTACTTGAAAAGCAATAAGCTGTCCCTATCATCGAATAGGTGAGGCTTCGTATTTGTGGTGGATGGCATGTTTTTTCTTTTCTTCTCATTAATCACCATTGTTTGCGTTTTCTCCTGCCAGAAGTTCGGAGACCTGACGGTGCGGCAGATCGAGAGGCTTCGCTGTCGACATAGGATCCAGGTGCTGCAGGCTCATGAAGACACGACCAAAGAAAACACTGTGAGCAGACAAATGTCTTTAAAGCTACTCAAAGGAAAATTTAAGGATATCTCAGGTTTAAGCATTTTGACTGTGCGTTGTATGCAGTCATGATTCCAGGTGCCATCTGTTCCCTCTGTTTGTGTCTGTGCAGTTGAGATTGGTGACTCCAGATGTTTCCATCTCTCCAGAGAACATGGCTGATGTCTATGACCTCTTCAAGGTGTCTTCTTATTTCTCCTTCAGTTAAGCAATACCCTTCCTCAGTGAAGTTCCCAGCTGTCTTGTCATCTTTCCTAACCCTCCTTTGCTTTGCATTTCTCTCCTCCCACTTCAGACCGAGCACTTCATCAGTCTGTACTGGGGCGACAGCAGCTCTGCGGCAGCAGCGGAGGCGGCATCGTGGCATTACAGAGGCTTTGGTCACACCTATCGGCGGGCCCGGCCACAGTTCAAGAGCCTGTATGGGCTGCTGGTGCCGTGGCCCGGTGGCTCAAACCAGAACACTGACACGGTGGCCAACCGCACCTTCACTCTGCTGGACCAAGACGGCGACAACCTGGTCACCTTTAGAGAGTTTGCTGGCTGGCTGGGTAGGTGAAGGAAGGGGAGACAGACGGGAAGAGGGACGCTGAAAAATAACAGCTGAATGTTCCATGTTGAGACAGGGACTAGCAAAAGGTCTAAAATGTGCATTTAAATGAAAAAAACCAAGAGGAAGTTGACACTAACGCTGCCTCCTCACGGTTTCAGACACTTTGTACTGTGAAGAGCTGAATGAGAAGATAAGGCTGCTGTATCGCCTTCACATCCCACCAGGTCTTTCATTGTCTTAACACAAAGCCATTCAGAGATTTGAGCTGCAGTGCTGGAAATGACTGATTAACTTCACTCTGTGGGTGTTTTTGGCTGCAGCTCTGACAGAGAGTGAGGACGACCCCTCTGTGAAGAGCCCCCTGCTGTCCACAAACAGACCCCTCTGTGTTGACCTCTCTCCTGGTAGGTGCAAACACACTGCAGTTGATTAGCTGTTAATTTAGGAACTCAACAAAACACTCAATATATGTAGAAGAAATGACTCTGACGTTTTATCCTTTCTTTGAAGAAGGTGTGACTGTGTGAGCTGACTGTTTTTCCAGGTGTTGAAAGTGAAGTGAAAGACTACCAGAAGCAGCTGAAGCAGATGCTGCAGGATTTGGCCAAAGAGAAGGAGAAAGATCTAGAGAAGCCTCTGCCACTCATGAACCAGGTACTGGAAGTGGAACACAGTACACTACACTACACTACAGTACAGTGCAGTACAGTACACATGCACTCAGTGGAATCTGTGTATCTATTATCTACTAGGGATGGGACAACATAACGAAATTCAAAATACTGCGATACAAAAAATATGTATCATTTAGTCTCCATCCATCTCGTGTGGTCTCCTGACACCAGTGACTTCATATTGTTTGTAAATAAGACATCCTAACAGAACATAAGGATACGATCCAACCAGCGCTAGAAAAGAGACAAAGAGGAATAAAGTACAAGTATTCTGCAGTTTCTACATTGTTGTAATTGAATTTTTAATTGTATTGTGATTGAATCGAATCTTATCGAGGAAAAAGTCCCATCGTCCCTATTATCATATCCTGGTATGCTTCTCCTGTGGGAAGCGTGCACTGTCTTTCCAGTGAACTAGACTGTACTGAACTAAAAAGAAGTACCTTATGTACACGGTAACAAAATAGTGCTTATTTTGGACAGTTAGTTGTAGAGAATTTACTTAGAGTCACTCTGTACAGAGTGACTTTATTTCTCAAACTTCGGTCACTTGGACCACATTTCTTTGTTCCTGTATCCAGCTTACAGACAAAGACTGAAACAAACAAACCCTGTCACCAAACAAATTAAACTCTGGACCCCAGAGACTGAAGGCACCCTGCAGGACTGTTT